CCCCAAAGCAGTGCACCCTTGTGCGGGAGTGCGTCTCCGAATATCTTCTGCTTGGTGAGTCGTACACCGCTAACCAAGACGTACAGAATTCTAGTCGCTCAGTACCTAGTTTTGAAACATTTGACGTTAAACATCACTTGAGTTTTCACAAATTGTCAAGCTTTTTCGAACGCTATTCTTTGAGTACCTCGATCAGCGACTCTGAATAATCTTACGAGTATGACAGAACAGCAGATAGATAGATCTAGAACATTTGATTTCTTTGATTTCTGACATGATGGTCATAGGAACTCAAAATGGACAAAAACGTCTGATAGAACTTGTGTTGTGACCAGTATGTGTGTGTTTGTGTGTGTGTTTGTGTGTTATAATAATATGTGTGTGTGTGTCTGTGTGTGTTTCTGTGTCTGACCCACTGACCCACTGACCCACTGACCCACTGACCCTAGAGCCCAGATGACGTGCCCTGTGCCGCTCACCGCACGCTCCGGGATCCTCGACAACCACATGGAGAACTGCTTCTGTGACGTCACGTGTGGCCAGGGCAGCAGCAGCAACTACATCTACGTCATCACCAGATCCGGGATACTGTGCCAGGTAACCTGCTGACCCTTTGGTCTTTTAGTTCAGTTTTAGTAAAGTGTTTTACGGCACTTGCAACACAGTAAGGTCATATAAGTGCCGAAGATTAGATTTGTTACAAGAGAGTAACAAACTTAAAAAAAGAAGGAGGGGAGATAAGGACGATAGACATTTGATAGGAAAGAAGGAGAAAACCACACGAGAGCACCCGCCAACCACCCTCCCTTTGGTCTTTTCTCTGTCCATCCCCCTTGTCCATTTCCTTTGTCTATTCCCTTTTGTCCGTTCCTCTTGCCCTGATAATATCCCCTCTCTCCCCGATACCAATCCCTCTATCCATGATGGCATCTCTTCTATCCGTATCTTCTCTATCAATTATGATAGTCCCTCTATCCATTATGATACAATTTCTTTTACCCATGGTGGTAATAATTATTTCCGCTATCTAATGCACTATCTCTATCCCTGGTGATTTTGCTAGGTGTTTTTGCGCCCCTATTGACACACCTGTCATGGCCAACCGGGCTGAGAGGGATATCATATCCCAGCAAAAAGACAGAGATACTCCATTAAAGTGTCTCCCTATTTGGGAATCGAACTTGGTTTCCATACCTGCAGAAGCAAAGCGCCTGACCGCTACACCACAGATGCCAATTCAAGAACTATTTCCTCCAATCACATCAGATCAACAAGACTTTAGAACTATTTCCTCCAATCACATCAGATTAACAAGAACTATTTCCTCCAATCACATTAGATCAACAAGACTTTAGAACTATTTCCTCCAATCACATCAGATCAACAAGAACTATTTCCTCCAATCACATCAGACCAACAAGACTTTAGAACTACTTCCTCCAATCACATCAGATCAACAAGACTTTAGAACTGTTTCCTCCAATCCAATCAGATCAACAAGTGGCGTCGGTGGCCTTGTGGTAATGCTACCGGGCTAGAAAATCGAGTTCGAACGTAAGCTCGGTCCGTACTCAACATTTGAAACGTGGTCTTTGCATGAGATGTCAAGGAGTCTGCGGTAACATCTCATAAACCTAAACCGTTTCACCACTTTTCAGATCAACAAGACCAGACTCCTGGAGAGATGGGTGGACGCCAACCTGTCGCCCGCGGGCTGCCTGACGGGTGACGAGAGTCACGTGTTCGTGGGCGGGGCCCAGGGGACAATCCGAATGTTCAAGGCGCTCAACCTGCAGATTCTGATCACCCTGCCACGCCCACATAGCCTTGGCCTGGATATTGCGCGGGTGAGACGTGGGCTGATGGCGCTCATCGAAAAACTTCTGTCTGTCTGTCTGTCTGTCTGTCTGTCTGTCTGTGTCTGACTTTTCCACAACAGTCTCGTCTTTCAGCCGTGATGCCGAGTCGTGTTCAGTCAATAACATAAGATTAGATAAGATAGTACTTTATTATCCCACAGGGAAATTTGTCTTGACTGTACAGGACCGTAAAAACACGACATGCAGGAATACTTAAAATATCTAAATTATATATTACTCTCATTAAAATTCAATATGAAAAGAGCAGTAAAGCTGACAAAATATACCTTCACACGAGGCGCATCATTCAACCACATGCAGGAATTTAATTAAAAGACCTTTGGAGTTATAT